CTCTGGTTGGTTCAATTTCTTATGCCTCATGTGTTATGCGTTATGCAAGAGTCTGTGCTCTCCGCTTATCGCACATGAAATGACATAAGCTGCATAAGCATAACATAAGACCGCTGGACTAATGAGCGTTCAGCATAAAGTCGCCATATTGATTTACAGAACATAACATAAGCATAAACATAGCATGTACATAAGAAATGAAATTCTATGCATATGTTTTATGCATAACCAATGAAATGTCAGCACGAGCTCCCGCCGAAATGATTAACTAACCTATGTTCCGATAATACCCGGCTCTGTCAGTTGATCTGTGGTAATAAACATGAAAACAGTGAAAATGAGTGATCATAACGATTATTTTACATATGCAGATGAGAGCCAAAATGAAAGCCAAATTTTAATTTCTTCAAAAGAAGACGAGGATGCTTTATTGATATATCTGGTTAAAGGTTATCCACATCTTTATAACAAGGAATCAAGAGATTTTAAAGATACACTAAAAAAAAATAATTCATGGGAAGAAATTGCAAAAATCCTAGACGCCAAAGGTATAAAACACTTTTCTTTATATCAATATTATGTAATTTTATAACTTCTTGCATATTTTTAATAATTATATTATTCCTTAGTAATAGCAAAATTTATCAAAAATACATAGTTGGTGAAAAGTAGTTACCCTGACGCGCGCGCGCGTGTGTGTATGTGTGTGTGCGTGCGTATGTGTGTGTGGAAATGTTTTTTTGGAATTTATATTAACCCATTTTCGGATAACTATTATTTCATCTACTAAAATAATTGAAATCTTAATGAAATGATAAAAATAGGTAAATTTATGTAGATTTTGACGTTATTTCATAACAATTTCAAAAAATTGTTCTTTCAATATAATTGTACACAATTATTATTCAGTTATTGTGCAGTTACTGTTTTTTTGACAAAATATCTTCATCAGATTTTGCAAACAAGAAGTATATTTCTTTTGTATACAGACTTAGTAAACTTATTATTTTTTTACTTTTAGTTTCAGATTGTCAAACGAGATGGTTAAGGTTGCGCGAGCGCTACTCTCGAGAAAAAAAATTACGAGAAATAGATACGAGAAGTGGAAGTGGAAATGTAACAAGACAAACATTTCCTTTATATGACCAGATGAATTTTTTATACAAATTTGTCAAGAGTAGGAAGTAAATTTCTTTTACTAAATTTATATTTCTACTATATTTATAAAGAGTTTATATATTTTTATTTTTCAATTATTGTTTATTATTTTACTTAGATCTATAACCAATATATCACGCTTGGCCAAAGAATCATATCCTATCAACGTGCCATCAGAAAAGATTGGCAAGTTTGTGAACGATTAATTTATTTAAAAAATATTATGGATAAAAATATTATGGATCTTTACATAACATTTAAATTGTAGATTCCACAAGTGTATTAAGAAATAAAAATCAATCTAGCACTAATCAAGATAATACTATCATCAAAATGTCCAATAAAGCATTAAGGACTGAGCGGAAATCAACAGAAACAGCTTCTTCCAATTCATCTATGTCTTCTACATCACACTCTCGATTTTTCTCTACGTCACATTCACATTATACTGATACTTGTGCTTCTGACATAGACAAATGTAACCAACGCAGATCTCCTATGAATTTTATACTTGAATCTAAACCTGAATCTAAACCTGGATATATGACAAGTATTGTTAAATATTTAGATTAATGCAAATTTATGCCTTTGTATATCAGAGTGAGGGCCAATTGTGTACAAACACGATCGGACACAGCGCTTGAACACTGGCCGCATTCAGCAGACTCAACAGTTGAGTGAGCGCTCGCTGTTATTGGTATATTCTGATCTAGCAGAATATACTAATATTTTGAGTCTGCTGAACACGTCCAATTGCCCATGCTGGATTCACACTGCATCCGACGTACGACGATCTGATACCCTATAGAACAGCTTTCCAATCGAGAATTGAATTTGCTATTGGAAAGGTAATCTCCTATTGGATATCGGATTGTCGTACGTCGAATACGGACGCAGTGTGAATCCAGCATTAAGCCTATTCTACAATGGCAGTAGTAGTAATGGATGTAGATGTAAGAGTAAGAAATTGACCAATCACATGCGATTATTCCTTTCACATTCAACTGTGATTGGTCAATTTCTTACTATTACGTCTTCATCCATTACTACTACTGCCATTGTAGAATGGACTCTAAGGCGTCGTCTACAATACACGGAGTAAGAAGTAAGAGTAAGAAATTGATCAATCACAGTCGATTATTCTTCTCACATTCGACTGTGATTGGTCAATTTCTTACTCTTACTTCTTACTCCGTGTATTGTAGACGGGCCTTAATGCGTGGTCTACAATAGGCAGTAGCAGTAGTTGTTTAAGGAGTAGACGTAGAAATCGATCAATCATAGTTGATTATTTTTCTCACATTCGATTATGATTGATCAATTTCTATGCTTACTCCTTAATTCACTACTGCTACTGCCCATTGTAGATCATGTATAAGCCAATTCTACAATTGCGTAGACGAATTTACCAACCACAATCGAAAATTCTGCTCAAACTCGGCTATGATTGACCAAATCTTACTACGCTTACGCAATTGTAGAATTGGCTTAAGACATCATCTGCTGTGAGTGATTGTGTCGGATCGGATCTGTGGGCAAACGGGACACTCCCTTATATCACTACTATTGCAAATGAATTAATGTTAACATTCATCCTCTTTATTTTTCTCTCTAGAATTATCATTTGATAGCAACGATGATTTCTGTACACCAGATATACATATTGATGATGAAACATTATCTCCATTAAAATGCTCAGAAACATTGCATACTAAGAGAAAAATAGTTTCTGCACATTCAAAATTAGCATCACCTAAAAGAGAGGCATTATCAGTAATTGATTATAACACATCTTCAGCAGCGTCTTCCAAATCTTCATCAAGTATGTCTGACATATCAAAAGAGAAAAATTTAAAAGTACCAAACAAATTTCAAAGAAAAATTAAACAAGAATTCCCTACAAACGATAAGATGGAAGAATCTTTCTTGAAATTGACATCAGTGGTTTCAACACATTTAGAAAGTAAGAAATCGAATGAACTACTCTCTGATTTCACAGATGAGGATGACATTTTCGCAAAAATAATTGCATGTCAATTAAAAAAAATTCCAGAACCACAAAAAAGTACAGTAAAAGGGCAGTTGATGAAAATACTATACAATTTGTAGTAGAATTTTTTCGTTTATAAAGTTGTACTGGCCAACAAAAATGTGAACGTTTTTGAATAGCATATAGTCGACATTTAAAGATCATGCTTGTATTCTCAGAGGGAGTGTCCTGATCGGGTCTGTGCGCAATCGGAACACTCTCATTCTCAGGTATTAATTATTACTTGAAAACACAAGTATCACCTTCAAATATGTGCTTCAGAAACAAATCGCTGACTGGTATAGCATTGTGGATGAAAATAGATAACCTTCGATGTTTCTTACAAAGTTGTATTATTATATATGTATATACATATATCGCATTATATACATATACATAATATATATTGCTTTTTCTAATAAGTTTGAAATATACGATATTATCATTGACATATAGAATGGACCGCTGATGGCAGTGGTATACTAAAAACGCGAAGAGTGAGAGCGAAACAATTGGAAGAATGTTTCAACTCTGTCTACTAAAACCTAATTGACCAGGCCAGTAAAAGTAATAACAACCTGCAATCAGGTTTTACTAGACATCATAGTCGAAACATTCTTCCAATTGCTTCGCTCTCACCCTTCATGTCTTTATACCCGCACCACTGCCATCAGTTGGCATTTCTTTGTAACTTTATAAACAGTTGATTCCCTTATTCGATACGCAAATGTAATCGAAGATATTTGATCTCCTGTTGCAAGAAATATGAAGGAAAACAATTATTAGTGAAAACAATAAAAAACTACAGTACAAATTAAAAGTATTTAAATACCGAAGCATCAAGGAGGGGCGGTGTTCTGCGGGTAATTCTCCCAATGTCTTTTTTTGTAAGTGAGGTCGCAATATATTTAATAATTTATTGAAATTATTGAAAAGTGGTCCATTCTATATGTCGATGGATATTATAGAATAAATTTAGATTAAGTTTAAAAAATTATAAGTATCTAGAGTAGCATTATAAATATTGAATAAGTTTAATACAAAATTAAGAAGGATATTGAAAGTTATATATTTGTTACATATTCGAAATACAATATAATACTACTATGTTAATACTACTATACTTACATGTTTACTCAAGTTTAAGTTATACATTTACTATATAGTAAACACTAATATATTACAAAAATAATACGTTTTACTTTTACTTTTTATCATACGTTTTACGTTTACCTTTTTTTGTTTAAGTTATACATTTACTATATAGTAAACACTATTATATTACAAAAATCATACGTTTTATATACGTTTTTTGCCCCGTATTTTACTACAAAATAATTTAAATGTACTGTATGTAAAGCTTAACATCGGAGAGACCATAAAGCTGTTTTTCATATGAGATCAGATAGTAAATTATTTGGACAACATAAAACACTGAATTTCTAATAATTCGCACCATGTATCGCAAACATCGACGTATAGAATAGATCGCTGATGGCAGTGGTGGTGGCATAAAATGCGAAGAGTGAGAAACATTTGGAAGAACGTTCCGACTCTTGTCTACTAAAACCTGATTGACCAGGCCAATACTGCCGAAGCAATAGTAACTAATTAGGTTTTAGTAGACAGAGTCTGAACGTTCTTTCAATTGTGCTCTTCACGTCCTTATACCTCCACCACTGCCAGCGGTTCATTCTATATGTCGATGGTCATAAGCTTAATATTCATTATATGATTTACTAGAATTGCTAAATTTATAAGCACATTTTACGCTATATCTCTATTATATCCTCTACGAAGATAGTCTATTTGCCATGGTACTTCGCCTTGTGGTGATGAGAAATATTCAGATAAGATGTCTCTTTGATTGTAAGCTTCTGTTACCGCTCTATGTACATTAGTACGTCGCAAATTTAAATTAACGTTATTGATATGTAATCTCCATTCACCTTGTGTAACATGTCCTGTGTTATCTTCGCTATCAACATAATTTACTGGACAATAACTATTTGTACTTGTTTCTTTTTCTGTCATTAAAAAATTGTGCAAATTTACTGCTGCCATAATTATTGTATCTGTATGTTGTGGCTTTAAACATATAGGACGTAGAAAAAGTCTCCATCTTGAGACTAAAATTCCGAATGTATTTTCAATAATACGTCTAGCCCTTGATAATCGATAGTTAAAAATAGATTTTCTTTCAGTAAGAAACGGTCCAGGATAAGGTCGCATTATTCTTTTCGATAAAGGAAATGCCTCATCAGCAACAAAATAATAAGGCATTTCTATATTTGATAGAGGTAACTTACAATTTTCTACAGGTATATTGAGGTAATCATTTCTGTTTAAGCACTTTCCAAATTCTGATTGTGCAAATATGCCGCCATCACTGTTACTGCCATAAGAACCACAATCTACTATAGTAAATTTATATTGGTGATCACAGACAGCTAATAATACAATACTAAAGGTTTTTTTATAATTAAAGTATAAGCTGCCAGAATTTGGAGGTGCTTTAATAACGAAATGTTTACCGTCAATCGCACCTATACAATTGGGAAAATTCCAATCGTTCCAAAATCCAGTAGCTATTTTTTTCCAGTCTTCTTCTTTAGGTGGTTTTAAATATATGGGACTTAAAACTTTCATTGTTATTGCGCATGTTTCTTTGATAACTTTATAAGCAGTTGATTCCCCTATTCGATGCGCAAATGCAATTGAAGATATTTGATCTCCTGTTGCAAGAAATCTGAAAAACAATTTTTAGTTATAACAATACAACTATAGTATAAATAAAAACTAATTGAAAAGTATTTAAATACCGAAGCATAATGATAAGGCGGTGTTCCGCGGATAATGCTCTCCAATGTATCTTTTGTAAGTGAAGTCGCAATATATTTAATAATTTATTAAAAGTATGAATGTTCATTCTTGTGTATTTAAAAAACATTTTCTCATCTTCTTTTAATTCTTGAAAAAGATGCTGGAAATCCTCAAACAACGGTCGACGTACATTTATGGGTCGTACCCATAATCGTTTTTTCTTATTTCCTTTACGTTTTCGTAAAACCATATAACATGCTGATATGATCGCAATATATACATAATCATACGTGTCCATCTTGTTATTAATATTTAAGTATGTATTCTTATGTGATCTTTTTTTCCTCTGGGGTTGTCAGTTTTCTGTTGCCCACTCTGGTGAAAAATTTTCTCATAATTTTTACATAAATTGGAACATTTTTCAGAATATATCAGATATAATACCAGAAATACTCAGATATATTTCAAATCTTAAACAAAAATGTCGAAGTTACGATAATTTTTTAATTATTATCGGTGAAAAATAACCACTAATATGATATAGAATTTGTGGCTCAAACCTATAGTTACATAGACATGTTCATTAATCTGTAACCAATTTATACGTTCAGGCCTATACTGACAGGTTTAAGCGCACGAATTCTATGGATTATTAATGGCTACTTTTCATCAGTTAAACTTTTGTAGTTTACTCGACATTTTCGTATTAGAGTTTTTATTCTGTTACGTCCAGAATACTCTGTTAAAACATTCCACGGTGTTTGTTAGACACCTTGTAGATTAATAAGAATAAAAATAATAAAATGTAATCAGTGAATGAGAATACCTAAATAATAAAAATTTTTTAATTTATCCTTATTATATATATAAAAAATGAATGTAATATATTTAAAAGAAATTTTACATTTTTGATTACACCGATGGATAAGATTGATGAATAAGATCCAATCACTGAAACTAAAGGATTTGTCTGTTTTAGCAAATAAGGCAGCCAATAAAATATTTCGTGATAATTCACTGGAAGCACAAAATCTAGTTGCTACAAAACTGGCTCAGGTACGCTGGAAAAAATGTAGTGTTGTGAATATTCAAGATGGGAAGTGATATCTATATCGAGAAATAAAATACAATAAGTTAAATGACTTACCAATAAGTGCAGAGAACGGTACATCTACTATTTGCAACGATGAACAATCTGTCAAAATACCATCACAAAATGACAACCAGTGATATGCTATCATCAGAAATAAACCTCGAGAAAACCAACTCGTATCGTATTAACATTTAAGAATATATCCTTCAGGAGACTTATTACGGTTCTTGAAACGTGAAAATTACAAAAGTGAGTAAATTTGCTAGGATATTTAAAATTACATTGATCAATATCTAATGAATTCGCTCACTTTTGTAATTTTTATCTTGTTTGAAGAACCGTAATAAGCTTCCAGAATCACTTCTTCTTCTTTTATATGTAAATGGCACTCAGTCCCTTGGCGGGTCTGTTTCGGCCAGAACTGTGATTCGCTGATTGATTTGGTAAATCAGGGTCTGCGCACAATGGAGGAACAGATATTAGATATTAAAATATTAACCTATGAGAACCGTGTATTCCGGTGTAATGCTGACATTTCATTGGTTTTATGCATAAAACATACGCATAGAAATTTCGTTCTTATGAATAATTTCATTTTTTATGTACATGCTATTGATGCTATGCTTATACTTATGTTCTGTAAATTAATATGGCGTCTTTAATGCTGGACTTTATGTTTCGAGACCGTTTTGGGGTTCTTATTTATTACTCCATCAGGTAATAGATTTGCGCCTTCAACGTCTCCTCGAGGTTATATGACGTCTATAAATCTCTCGAGAACCATTTCTGAAATATTTAGGTTAGAAATATTCTTGACAACCATCCTCAATTCTAGGCTCAATTTAGGCTAAACTTATGCTCTATGCACATTCATGTAGATTGAATTATTTTTCTATGCTTATGCTATGCTATGTTTATGTTCTATGCATTTCATGTGCGATAGGCCTGAGTCAACATTGTGATGTGTACTTTCGTGTTCCTGGACAGTTCTGAACTATACTTATATGTATCCTTCGTGCACCTTTATGCGCAAAACTTCTACACAAATAAATCCGTATTAAACTAAAGAACATATAAATTAAGCACTCCTACATATTTTCTTTTGGTCATAAATACACTATTTACAATTCAACAACATTGATTTACATACTCGACGGCTTTATTTTCACAAATAAAGTACGTATTTATGATTCGTAAATTTGAAATGGCCGCGTTTTACGAAAAAATGAATGCGCGTTTGCGGTACTTTATAAATCTAGTGACTTCGGGTGATTTTTAAAATCACTAGGTTAACAAAGTAGCACAATTAGAAAATTCACTGAATTAGCATTTGGAGCCAAAATGGCGTCGAAGTGCTATTTTAACCTGATTCTGATAAAAGGTCTGAAATCTATCCAGGGATCTGGAAGAAGGATAAGAATCTGATTCTGTTATTTATTGAAAATGCCCGATTACTGTATTGAAAATTGCAAAACCGCTGTGAAAGAGGCTGAAGTTTTGGATAAGTTCGCGTCTTGGAGCCAAAATGGAGGCAGTTTGCGGAACTTTGTTAATTTGTATAACTTTATATTTTTGAAAAACGGGAACTACTTACCACATCTTCTTTTGTGACACACCGATAAAATCGTAATGGACGTGGTGCGTGTCCAAGCTACACAAAAAAAAAATTGCAAGCTCCACAAATTGCAAACATTTATATGATAAATAATAATAAATATTTATAAATATTTATTATTATTAAACAATATATTTATATTTTTTGACCGTATATTTGAGAAACTCAATTTCTTTATTATTATTTCCCTCTTATTTCTTTCTTTATTATAATTTCCCTTATAAAAATTTTTCACTGTTTTTTGCCCGTTTTTAGCCCGTGCGAACGGTTAATTTGAGTGGTGAAAACCAGGGTTGGTAAAGACTAATGTTTTTTTTTAAGAATAAAACATATTGTGTTTCTTCTTGAATATGTTTTTAATGCTTCAAATATGCTTTAAACAGTGCTATATATAAAAAAACATATTTAAAACATATTAAAAACATCAATTAAGAATGTTTTAAACTGTTTAAAACACGTTCAAAACATGTTTTTTACCAATCCTGGTGAAAACGTGCATTTTACTCAATAAGTATGACTCCGTTTTTAGGTCGCAAACAGGAACTTTTCCGTAAAAATGAGTGGTTAAAACGGATTGCACTCATGCAGGACACGAGTATATCTGAGTGGTAAAAACGTAAATTTGAGTGAAAAAACTTATACGAGTGCAAAATACTCATTTAGCACTCGTCACTCACATTGCACGTTTTCACCACTCGAAATTACTCGTCGTAAGGCATAACCGATAGCACGAGAAAATCAGCTCCGCTCCTGTCGAGGTTCAAACCGAGGCCTGGTCTCCAAGTCTGCTCTACGAGGCTGCCACTTTTCCACTGAGCCACACAACTCCTATGTCGATATTCGCTTACTTATGTACCTCTTATATGAAAGATTGTAATTATTATATAGTACACTATTAGAAATGTAACCACGAGCTTCCTTTACATGTAAATGATGCTTGTAGTTATGAACGAAATAAAAGTAATGAATTATTTAACTGAAAGAGAGAGAGAGAGTTAAGTTACAGTAGTTACTTAAATGTAATGAACGTGTACATTAAATTTGATGTAATGTCATGAAATTAATTTCAAATTGTGTAATTTAAAATGTAATGAAATTTAAGAACATTTCTAACAGTGTAATTATACTTAATACATTGTGTATGAGTTATATACATATATGTAATGATATATATACCCAGATATATATATAAACACACATATACACACCTCAAAAAGACATTAGACATTAACATTGTACATATTTTGATTTTGAATGATTAACTAATTGATTTAATTCATTATTCTGTGCATAAAAATATTAAAGTACAACTGTTAAAAATAGTTCATGAAACATTTATACCTGAATAAAGTGTAATATATCTCATGAACTATTAATATTTTGACAAGTCTATGTTAATACTTTTGCATGCAGATTAGGAAGATTATTTCATATTAAACAACTTTTTTCTAAATGTATTGTATATTTAATGTGATTACCCTAATCCCAAAAATAATTAAGGGATGTGATAGATTAAACTAGAACTCTGATGTGTATGCACACACACACACAAACGCGCGCGCGCGTGGATATATTACAGTTATATATAACCATTGATAAATTAATTGTCAAAATAAAAATAAAATTCATACAATAATAATTCATTATTATTATTAATTTATTAATATACATATATATGCGTGTGTATATATGAATAATATATTTTTTTTTTAACTACCGTGTCTCCTGATACATACAATAATAAATAATGAATTATTATATAATTTCTATTTTAATTTATTTGAAATCGTACGATATGGTAATTAATAAATGATAAGTAAATGTACGAGTAAAAAGAAACGTCGTATTATCGTGTTCTCACTCATCAGCTGAAAACGGACGATTCACTCAAAAATATTCGCGTATACGTATGTCGTTCATCAGCGGAAAAACGAGTATTGAAAACGGACAATCTCTTCAAAAATACTCATTGCGTACTCGTGTATACTCACTATCGTTCCTTCATGATACACTGCGAGTGCTTGCGAGTGCAAGAAACGAACAAGAATGGGTTAAGAACGGGCTAAAAACGAGCTAAAAATCGGTCCATATGAGGTCTAGAAACGGTGAAAAATTTTTATAAGGGTTACCACATTGAGTATGAAAAATATCTCATAAAAACGAATATATTATAATAATAAATATATTATAATGAATGATTAAATGTTAAATAAGGACAAATGCTCACGAATGTTGTAAGTGTGAATTGGACCGCAGCCTTATAAGAACTCCTAATTTCGTGGCGTCGCAATGCAAAATCGTAAAAGCATTTTTGTCGTGTAAGTTCTACATTTAATTTGCAAAAGTTCTCTTATATAGAAAGTTCGTATGTACAGCTTCTAAGTTTCGAAAAATTTTCCGGAAATCGTCTACGATGCTTGAGCAAACAATAGGAAAAATATGATAGAATGGTAACGAGGACTTCATACTATAAACATTAAGTATAGAAAGTACGTCAAATCTGTGTTACCTTATCGCTTTATCGAGAAAAATTAATTACGTTATTAATATTAATTATCGTACGATTATACAGAAAAGTGGACGGATTTTTTTCTAACGTTCTTTGCTTTCAACACGACATAAACATATACTTCTCTTGCATATTTATATATATATATATATCTTATTAATGATTATTTCTTCTCCTCGCATTCTTTTTCATTTAATAATTTTTCAATTAGATTGAAATTTTAGATCAATATTTTACTAAACGGATCACGCTGGACGACTCGAGTATTCAAATCACTTCTCGTAATTCCTGTCTAATAAAGGAGCAGAACTTCTCGTTTTGGATTTAAAAGCGGACGACAAGAATGAACTATAAAAAGGCCGGTCTGCTTAAAATATTGAATAGCCTAGCTACTCGAGCTTCTTAACTCTCGATTTGCGTCCACTCCGAGACATGCGCATGAGTTAAAATTATTATACTCCTACAAGGCCAGTAGAGAACTTTACACTTACTAGTACACTTAACAGCGGTTAAGCCGTTGCACACTATATTGCAGATAGTTTTAACGGAAAAAATTCTTTGACGCGCAAATTATAACTAGGATCTGTAAAAATATACTGCCCTGATTATGTATTACGTGCGATGCGCATGTCGCGGTCTGTCCTCCTCACCCATTTTAGACCATCAGTGTTTTCGCACGCTTTTATTACGATATTACGCAGACAATACAAAGTTCTAAATCTGGACGTAAAATGTTATAAAAACGACTGAAAGGCGGTTTAAAGAACTTTTTCGACGTTTAAAAAATGTCACATCGAAATATTTAAGATCTGCTTTGACCGAATAAAGGATTTCTCTTACTTAATTTATTCTCATTGGTCCAAATTCGTATTATAATTGTCTCATGTCTCGATTTTAGACTTTATATTGTTTGAATATGTATAAATTGAATCGGTTATTTCAAAAACCCTATATAAGTAAAAGAATTTAATTTTTAGAGTACTAAAAAAATTCTGTAGTTTTTACAATTGTAGTATTAAAAATAATTAAAGATATGTAAAATATGTCTCATTATCTCAATAAGTGAATAAAATGTACTTTTCAAACTTATTTC